GATGATGATGATGATGATGATGATGATGATGATGATGATGATGATGAAATTTGTATGCCACCTGAGTCCCAACAACTCACAGGGAGCAAAGATATGAATCCATGTTTCCTAGGTCCCCAGAGATTCAGGAATACCCTGATTTATTTACAGCATCCTTTTGATGTAAGGGTTCTTCCTTCTTTAACGTAGAACATGTTGCAGAGGACTCTGAGATACATTCTCTGCCTCTCCATCACATGTTCCAGCATCTGAAAATGGAGGAGGAACTCTTAGCCCCACTGTGTGTCACCCACACTAAAGCAGAGATCTTTAAGTCTTCAAGTCAGATCTTGCTCAAACACTCGTAAATGCACACTCGAATATCCTCTGCTTGTCTTGGATTTCACATTGTTGCCCTTATACCCCTTCTAGGGAATTGCCACGGGGAAGTACCACGCAGCTGTCCTCACCAATAGCGAAGAGTGGGAACAAGCCTGCATCAAAGCGGGCAGAAACTGTGGTGATCTGGTTCACCCCCTCGTCTATTGCCCCGAGCTCCATTTTAGTGAATTTACCTCAGCTGTAGCCGACATGAAGAACTCAGTGGCAGTAGGTTTGCCGGATTTATAATATTCTTTGCCTCGCTCCAACTACCGGACTGTTTTATGCCCTGTGTTTTTTTATAACCTGGTTTGGTTTTTCAGATGGTAAGTTTTGCAGAATGACTGCTAATCCATTCCACTCCATGGCATCCCCTGTTAGTTTGGGCCAACGGCTCCTTAAAATCAGATTATTTTGTATAGAAGGTCAGCCATGAAAAAAGGGGGAAGATGAAAAAGATTCCAGATCTCAAACTACACTGGCTGGGGGATTCTGGAAGTTGTAGCTTTGGAGAGTCCTGGAAAAGGCCACTGAAAATGGGGTTCTTCTGGGCACCTTCTCTAGAAACGGTAGCAAACTGCAGTGATGCCAGAATGATGCCATCATCACGCAAATGCTGATATTACATACTTACCTCCTGCCTGATAACATCATCAGGAGGCGTCATTTGCCCACGTCTCCATTTTAAAATTCAGGCTCTAAAGCAAACTGAACTGAATTAAAGACAACTTCCCTGTGCTGTTTTTTCTTCAGGACCGGGATAACTCTCCCAGCTCCTGTGCTGGACTTTTTATCGCTTCACACATCGGGTTTGACTGGCCTGGTGTTTGGGTCCACGTAGACATTGCAGCCCCGGTCCACGCGGTGAGTGAAGAGGATTTTCTCGATGCTCTGCATGCTGCTTGTCTTCCTCTCTGGAATCTTGTCCGGATTCTTTATGCCCTTGAAAAACTTATTTCTGCTACTGTTCATTGCTGTCTGTTATGATGAAACATTTTTTTTCCCCTAAAGTTATGCCCATTGTAAGTGTGTTTTCCCATTTGTTTTTCTATTCTTTTATCTAATTAATACATACAGTCTGGCTATGTGATTTGATGGTTTCTGGGTTAGACTGCTGCAGTAGGTTGCATGTATGACTGCCCTTGGACGTTACTTGGGAACTACCATACATTCAAATCATAGCTGTTGGCTTCTCCCTTGAATCAGGTGTTGGAAATACTGCATTGCTTAAAGAAACACACAGGCTTGCAGATGGCTTCTGGGTGCAGCTTAGAATGTGATGGCCAATCTTTAAAGCCTTCAGGATTTCCCTGGGTTCAGCAAACTCTCTCACGCTGTATTCTCTGAAAATATTATGAAATGTTCTTCCTGGGAGTTATGTGTAGGTTTTTTAAATATTAGTTTTAGGAAGAATTTAAACAATAGGCTGTTCTTCAGTGATAAATCTTATAATAGTCCAAGTTGCAATAAGAAAAAAATGACAATGGAATATTGTGAATATTATAGCTGCTTTCTGCATTTTAGATCTTTTAACAAGCAGGTGGTTGGTCTTCACATATTTTCTTGAACTTCCTTCCCTGAAATTTGTTCCCTCTCTTCTCTGAAGTTTGTGATGCAAAACAAGCAAATTTATGTAGCTTGAACTAGATAGAAAATTCTTCAAACAACTATCTTTTTGCTGTTGTTGTTGTTGTTGTATTATTATTATGGTGGTGGTGGTGGTGGTGGTAACTTCAAGTCAGTCTTGATTCCTGTTGACTGCCAGAACAAATCACTGCAATTTTCTTGGCAAATTTTCGGAAGTGGCTTGCCATTGCCTTCTTCCAAGGGCTGAGAGAGAGTGACTGGCCCAAGGTCACTCTCACCAAGCTGGCTTCATGCTTAAGGCGGGACTAGAACTTACTGTCTCCTGGTTTGTAGTCTGGTCCCTTAAACACTGCACCAAGATGGCTCTCAACCATCCGATAGTATTAATTATATTTTTTCCCCTTAAAGCTGTAAAGAACAAAATCTACATAGCCTGAACTGTTTTCTGTTGCTAGTGCTAAACATGATGTGTTTTCTTAAAATTACCTTGGGTTCGGTCACAAAAAGGATGCCTACCGATGTGCTTCATTATATTTTCTTTTTTTAAAAGAATGTAAGTTGTAGACTCGTGTGTGCTGACCTTGTGCTAAGCCGTGGTTTGGATAACTAGAGTTTACTGAATAAACCCAAGTAGTTTTGGTTCACACAGCAGCATGAACTAGTCCCAAACAAGCCACTTGTGTGAGTGGACACTTGGCATCAGCGTGCTGGGCTTTCTCCCAGTAAGTATGTGTACGTGTGCATGTGTGTTTGCTCAGAGTCTGAGCGAGGCTAGCGATCTGAGATGCCCTTGTGTTTGCCTCTAGGGGGAACGAGCCACTGGCTACGGCGTGGCTTTGTTGCTGTCACTCTTTGGCCGGGCCTCTGAAGACCCTCTGCTGAACATGGTCTCTCCATTGGGCTGCAGCGGAGACCCCTTGGAAGACGACATGGGGAGAGATTGCAAGAGACGGCGCTTGGTTTAATCCCCCCCCCCCCCCCCATTTTGGAGCTGGCATGCCAGAATTACCTCACTTTGCACTGATCAATTTCCTAAACCCTAAAATTAGCATGTGTCAGAAATGGCCATTTCAAGTATAAAACAAAATAGACATGAAAGTTGTTGTTGCTTATATTCTGGTTTTCCATCTCGTGATGATGAAAGGCCCAGTTGTACTGGTTTTAAGAATGGTTTGCATTAGGGTTTCTCGCTAACATGTAACGACTCTGCGGCTCCCAGCCCTTGTTGAGAAGGGCCCAAGAATGTTTCTGACCTGTTCCCCTTTCAGAAAGTATCTGAACCTATTAATACAACCGCTTGACCTCTTACTACTTGTAGAGCCTTTTGAATTAGTACCCTGGATTTTCACTCTGCCAGGGCTTTCTCAGTCCCCTGTCTTTCAAAATATATAAAGTAGAGGGGAAAACAGAATGCAGCTGTCACCTTACCATCTAGACCAAGTGCATACTATACGGTTAAAGGCAGGAGCTCTGCTTCCAGGCATTCTCTCTCTGGACTCCTGTTCCCTTCTGCCCTGCCTGTTGGGCAACTCAACCTGCAGTCCTTTTTGTCCCCTGCAGGTAGGTGAGCAAGACTAGAGCGGGAAGAGCTGGAAGGAACAGTGACTGTTTTGCCCTGCATCTGCTTACGATGTAAGGTGGCAATCCTGGGATAAGAACCACTTTGGGCCCTGCTGTATTCTATGACATCAATGGAGGCCTTAATCTCTTTTTTTTAAAAAAGGCTTTTAAACAAAACTCTCCCTCATATGCTCTTCTTGCATGATTATTTTATCAGTGTGACCCAGTGTATATCTCCATGAAGTTCTTAACACTCTTTTGCTGATGAACTGCATTAATGTTTAGAATTAAAGCCCATGCAAGAGGTAACCACGCCAGAATAAACTTCTCTTGTCTCAACATTGTTTGGGTTTTTAAATCAGGTTTTTTTTTTCTGCAAATCCCTGAAGATGCTCCAAAGAGAGCTAGACAAATTTATGGAGGATTGGAAGATACACTGATTGCTATTTGCACGGAAAGCAGCTAAATGCAGCTGGGAGCAATTAATGAGTCATGAGAGCAAGCAATGGCTGTCTGCCTGCTTGCTCTTCTTGGAACCTCTCTGGGGCCCCTGGTTGGCCAGTCCTTCCTGGAGACAAAGGACTGGATTGGCTGGACCTAATGCATTGCTATTACAAATAGTCCCTGGGTTAAGAATGCACGGTTTAAGGATGATCCATAGTTAAGAATGGAGCCTACTATAGCAACATTTGAGTTAAATACACAATGATTTAAATTAAATACACAATGGTTGGAATTAATTACACAATACTTATACAGTATTATACAATAATACTGTTCTGGCTTACATACAAATTCGACTTAAGGATAGACCTTGGGAACGAAACTCATTCTGAAACTGGGGACTACCTGTACATTATTTGTGTCAAAGGCCTGAATGTAGGACCACCCTAGGAAGGTCACTCTATCCTCTAACCCTTTACCAGCATTAACATCTTAGTGTCAGTTAGTTAGAAGGGACCACTTAGGCCAGGGTTTCTTAACCTCAGCAACTTTAAGATGGGTGGATTTCAACTCCCAGAATTCCCCAGCCAGCATGGCTGGCTGGAGAATTCTGGGAGTTGTAGTCCACCCATCTTAAAGTTGCTGAGGTTAAGGAACCCTGACTTAGGCCATGAAGTCCAACTAGGTACCCACTGCAGGAATCAAAGCATCTGTGGCAAATGTTCAGCCTCTGCTTGAACTATCCAGCAAAAGGGAGGTACTCTCTTTATTAGAGAATTGGTTCCATTGTTGAAGTACTGTCACTATTCAGAAAACTTTTCTAACATTCAGGCAGCCTGTTTTCCTAGAGCAAGACCATTATTCTGTGTCCTGCACACAGGGATTGTGACCTCTGTATGGAAGTATCCAGCTGCCAAACACGTACATAACCATCTGGGAATCTTAGTGGTTGAGAGAGAGAGAGAGAAAGAAAAGTCCCAAGATACAAAATTTGTATGCCTATATAACATTTTCTTTTGTTCATGCCACAGCTATTTGACAAATTAAAGATATAATTCCTAATTCATTGCTAATTTTACTGCCCTGTTGAGCTGAATTGGTAATTTGGAATCAAACTGACTTGCAATTAAAGGGGGAGGAAATGATGGGAACAGCTACCACCTAGTGAGGATTTCCCTTGGTCCAAATTATTATGTAGCTTTAGAGTTCCAATCTCTGTGCAGTATAAAAAACTGCATAGCGCACTCTGGTTATTAAATCTCACGTGTAGTTGCACACTTCCCTAATGCAGATTAAATATCCAATAAACCAAAACAACACTGTCTTGATGTCCATTTGCCAAGTGCAGATCCTGATTTTTTTTCTAGAGTTTTCCTCAGCGATAATCTCCCATCCACACCTGCTTTTACTTTTCCTTGTGTTCTCTGGTCCATTTGATCATAGTTTCAGGTGATCGATACAGAAAGATGAGTTTGGCAAAGAGCTGCTCTTCTAGCTCTGATTCTCCAGCCTCTCTCGCTAGGAAAATTTCTGTGCACAGTTGCAGGATGCGGTCCACATTGGGTAGCTCTTCAAACATGATGGAGCGTGAGATTCCATTGAAAAACTCTCGGATGAATTTCCCAATGACCAAAACAAATGACATATAGAGGCCGGCAATGCTGGTGTTTTGGGGAAAGAAGAGACAAGGTTATTTTCAGAGTGTTTGGGTAGCGTAAGGTTTGGAATGCATTGTCTTGATTCTGGCCCTCTGAACTTTATCTTTCAAGGCAGGTCACTACACTGCAAACAGTTTCTCCTATCTCCCCAAATTTGTATGGGAAATTTTGTAAGCGTGCTTGTCTTTGGACTGCCTGGACAAGGGACAACCCTAACCCTAACCCAGTTGTATCCAACAGTTAACCACAAAAACTGTATCGAAATGGTATATACAGTCCACCTTCCCTTAAGCTCTCAAAGCAAAAAGATATAGATGTTACATTAGGTCATACCCCACATTGACCTGACTTTAAAATCCCCTTGGAGTGAAAGAAATTTCCCAATGTTTACAAAATGTAGATCCTATGTGACCACCAGGAGGCAATGTGTAACCCGTTTGGTCCTATATTGGAACTCATCAATCTTGTATGTGGGGACATGACATAATGTAACACCCATATGTCTGCTCTGAGAGCTTAAGGGAAGGTGAGCAGTATATACCATTCTGAGTCAGTCTATATATCTCTTCCTGCAACTCTGCTGAACACTAGGACCTGGATATCTGCTGTATATAGCCTTAAAGTGCAACAGTCCATGAGTTCAATTCCTGGTAGAGCATTGGAACCTCACAGGATAAGATCTGGCTATGCATGTCTGATGAGACCTAGTATAGGATGAAACCAGTCATGTACTGCTTCCTGTTAGTAAATACAACTAAAAATAGCTTGTGTAAATTACTAAATGGGATTGGCCTTGAGGATTTTGTGCTAGAGCAAAGCTATTCTAAGGCTTCAGTTTTAAGAGATAGATTTTTATTGATTATTTCAAGTTAAACCTTGTTTTTTAATCACAGGATATTCAGGGTGGCTAGCAGTTTAATATAAAACAAAATGTAAAAAACTGTAAAAATAACTACCATTGTTATGAAAAGGCCTGACTGAAGAGAATGGAAACTACATTGTGGGAAATAAACACAGTTCTGAAGGCTTGCATGCTATGGCTTGTGAATAAAGAAAACACTGGAGATAAGGTTGGTGGCATAATGAGATTTCTTTTTTGATGCCCTCCCTAGTTCCTGAGAAAGTTGCCAACCCCTTTTACATGCTATTTCAACCATCAAAATACCTCAGATATTTTGTGAAGTGTGGGCTATAACAACTGCCAAGGAAACACTAAATCTCTAGGACAGCCTTCCTCAACTTGGTGGCCTCCAGATGCATTGGACTTCAGTCAGTGACTGGCTAGGGAGCCCATGGTGGAAATGGTGGCTGTACCATCCTTACCCATAGGCAGCGACAAATCCCAAACTGGAAGGATTGACTTTATCATTGCAAATGATAATCTCCATATTCTTGCTGCATCCATTATCCAAACAAACAGGCTTCTGCTCTTTAACAATCCACCATTCCAAAACATGGCTTGAAGACTCCTTATCTGGCAAGTGCTGCAGCTTTATGGTTATATTTCTGAAGAAGGCCATTGCATTGATGTCTTGTAACTTCTGGGAATGAACTGTTGAAACAGGTTAGTCTGTGCTTCCCACACCTTCTCCCTCACAACAGAACATGTGCCTGCACTGATCACAATTCTCTTCACCTCTTGTAATATGGGAACAAAGGATTGGGTTCAGTTCCTCCATGGCCATCACTTAATTACTTAGAGCAGTATTCTGGGAGTTAAAGTCCACACGTCTTAAAGTTGCCAGATTTGAAAAACACTAATTTGGGCTGTGTATAATGCTAAGCTATAATCAGTTTTATTTCATATGAAAATGTGAAACCATTTATTAGTTTTTTAGGGCATTATAGCTTGTTCAACTGAAAATGATGATTTAACATTATGTGTGACACACAGTCAAAAGTGTTCTGCACACTCACATCTTCTATCTTTTGATTCTATAGTCAAAACCTATGGCATACTGGCTTTCCCCCACTGGTGCGCAATTATTACAAAACACTTCAAACACAGGAAAAATTGTAGTCTATAGAATTGCAACTGGGCTCGGACATCCTGTTAAATCATAATTTGTTTTAACCATGGTTTGTTAATTAAGCCAGAGTGATCTAATGCATATGACATGCTAAACACTGACTATGCTTTTTAGGCCACAGCTGGTTTCATGCATTGCGGTAAGCTCAAACCAATTCAAACAACCCAGTATAGCTCAGTGTGATGTGAAAGAATGGCAGAAAAAGGTACATAATCCACTTATTCTCTTTTAAATATCTTTCCATTTTTTGCAAGACATAGGAGCTAGCAAGCCATGGTGGGTATGTATATGCATCTGATTTTAAAAACAAAAAGGGCTCTGGATCTTCTCCCAGCAGATACTTTTCTACTCAGCCAAACAATAGTCATGACATTTGTCTGCCGCATAACAGCTATTTAGAAATAGGATTACAGGGCAATGTTGTACCTTGTATCTATGACCATGGGCAACATGTTTTCAGATTTGTCAATACAGGTAGTCTTCATTTAACAACCACAATTGGGACCGGCAACTTTGTCGTTAAGTGAAGCAGTTGTTATGCGAGACATCACATGACTGCGATGGTCTTATGATGTCACTTTTCCCATGGTCCTTAAGCGAGACTTCACGTGACCATGACTTGCAAATTCACTGCTGGCTTCCCCATGGACTTTGCTTGTCGGAAGCCAGTAATGAACGTCACAAATGGCAATCACGTGACTGTGGGACCTGTGACAATCATAAATGCATGCTGGTTGCGAAGCGGCCAGATCTCGATCACATGACCCTGGGGACGCTGTGATGGCTGCAATTTCAAGGACCAGTCATAAGACTCTATTTTTGGCACCGTCATAAGTGAACAGTTGCTGAATGAGTGGTCAGTAAGCAGTGGACTACCTGTACGGGGAAAAATGGACCCTGTGCCTATGACCACAGCTACATGTTTTCAGATTTGTCAGTAGAAGAAGAACAAAAGATATTTGTGATAACAGCAGTGATGGTGACAAAGATGTTAAGTATCTCAGATTATAACATTCTGAGATAACTAGAACCTGAAAACCAATCTTCCTTCTTAGTGTATCTCAACGTTTTCAGTTTGCCAATCATAGAACTTACCAACTTGCAAGCTATATGCCATTTTAGCCTCTGCCCCATTAGTCGCTCTCAGATATCTTGGTAGAACACCAGGAAGTACACTTGGGAGGAAAAATAATAATAATAATGTTCTTACAATTACAGGCTTCCAAACCAATACTAATGCTAAGTTTCGTTTTCCAAACACACACACCCAGCCTAGATATTTTGCTGCCTGAAGTGGAGTAGCAAATATCCTATCTCCTCCAGCCAGAGATCAAGATATATTGTGCCCAAAGCCAGAAAAACAATTAGACGCTTGAATCTGAAAATCCCACAAGGGTTTCCCCCTGCCTTTAGCAATAAAAATACAAAAATAGCCTTCCACCCAATGTGCTGTGCTTTCATGACAACACATCATTTGATCCTGCAATTGCATCGCCACCTTGACTTTTCTGACCTTGTTGCAGACGCTCCTGGTTATTGGCAGAGCAGACTCATAAATAGACACCAAAAGGAACAAGCAAAAAAAAAAAAAAATCACCTACATTGGTTCAGTCCGTGTCCCAGAGAGCATGTGAATGATTTGATCCCTTATTTCCTTCTCTTCGTATCGCACAGTATGTATGCCAGATGCTTCAACATTCTTCACAAGAGATGCATTCCTGATTTCATAAGGAAATGAGCAAAAATCTTAAAATGATGCAACAGAAGCCATTTGAGGAAGGTCTGATGCAGACAGTTCCTTCATCTTTATGATCCTTTCTGGACTGTACATATTTGTGAAAGCCCAACAAACAGAGACTTAAGAAGGGTGCTTCTTTCTGGAAAGGAATATTTGCCCTACAGTAGGCTTACCAGCCTGATCTATACCTAATGCTACGTCATACTATGGTTGCTTTGGGCTCAGTGGAATTTGGGAAACCACCCCAAGATGTTTGCAGCTGGGGTCAAGGGTAGACACATGAGGAAAGCTGGGTTGCATGAATGTGATTCAAGCCCCGCCCCCTTTCTACATCCGTCATGACATTGCACGCACATACAAAAGTAGCAGGGCTCGTGTTGCTATGGCACAATGCTAGTTTCATCCACCCGGCACATGCTTCTGAACCTGCCTGACATTGTTTAGTGTTATGGGGGAATCAGGCCAGGGTGGCTTGTTAACCATCTATGGTTTAAAAAGGGCTTAGTATAACCTGGGAGCCAGACCAGAGTGAAGGGAGGCTAATGCCATAATTAGGGAGTGCTCTTCACTTTCTAAGCTGGTGTCAATAGGTGCATAAAATCTACTTCTTTAATTTTCTTTTACCTGAGAAGAGTCCAGTGGAAGCTGACATAGATTGCAGAGGAACTGGAGAGCTCTGCTATCATGGCTTTCCGACTCGCCGGACTGATACTCCACAGCAGGCTGGCATTGCCTTTTATTTTAGCGATTACAATGTCCTCTGGACTGTAGCCATCTATAAAGTATGAGGCAGACTGGAGGGAAAATAAAATAAATCGGGGGGACAGTTTTAAAAACACAACATAGCCAACAGTCCTTGCCCTGTCATAGCCATCCCCAGCCTGAGATCTTCCAAATGTATTGGAACGGCAGAGTCCAGGGTGCCTAGCACAGCATTTGCAACTCCAACAGGTGATGGACTACCAGGCTTGCTTTAAGAAGTATTGTTATTGTTGGTCACACAGTCTCCAGATGTTTAAACTGGATTTGGCATTTTTATCCACCTATCGAGTCCTTCCCAAGGACCTGGGATAGACAGATGTTGTTGTTTAATGGCATTAAAGGTATTGTCGCAGGATGTAAGCTGTTTCAAGTAAAGCTGCCTTTTGCAATTGACTGATGGTGATTTTGTCAATTTTGGCATTTTTATCCACCTATCGAGTCCTTCCCAAGGACCTGGGATAGACAGATGTTGTTGTTTAATGGCATTAAAGGTATTGTCGCAGGATGTAAGCTGTTTCAAGTAAAGCTGCCTTTTGCAATTGACTGATGGTGATTTTGTCAATGCCAATGGTCTTCAAGTGGTGCTCCATATGTTTTGGGATCGATGATGATGATGATTATTATTATTATTTGTTTTGGGATCGATGATGATGATGATTATTATTATTATTTGTTTTGGGATCGATGATGATGATGATTATTATTATTATTTGTTTTGGGATCGATGATGATGATGATTATTATTATTATTTGTTTTGGGATCGATGATGATGATGATTATTATTATTATTTGACTGATGGTGATTTTGTCAATGCCAATGGTCTTCAAGTGGTGCTCCATATGTTTTGGGATCGATGATGATGATGATGATGATTATTATTATTATTATTATTATTATTATTATTATTCCATTTTATTAGTAGTTTGCCATTTTTTATGTCACACACAGAGAGACATGAATATATGCCAAGAGAGTCCAGGGACATGTGAACAGCCCCAATCCAGTAGTAGGCTGAAGTTGGCTCATACTGGCTCGCGAGAGCCAATTGTTAAATTTTCTGGAATTTTGCAAGCTGGTTGAGAGCAGAGCTCAGCCATAGTCTGCTGTTGGGTGGCATGGCATGGGGGCAACAATGGAGCCAGCAGAGTCGGTTGTTATGTATTTAGCAGCACTCCAATACCGCAGTATGTCCTGCTTTACATTTCATCATGCAAAAGTGATAGCCTAAGAAATAGGCCGAAGTCAACCTGGGAAATTCCTTCCGGGCATCTCGCAGCCAACAAATTTCATACAAGATCCAGAGGAGGGAAAGAGGACAGCTTCCAGCCTGAACAGCTCCTGCTTTTCATTACAAAAGCAGCTGGTGACTGAAAAAGGGAAGATTTTGTTAGCTAACCTAAGTTGGGAACTGTGTTCCCAGTGCCCAAAGCCGCCCCTGCTTCTAAAGCTGTAAGATGGCACAAAACTCCACAAGAGAATTCAGTTTGTTGGACTGATTCAGTGACATCTTCTTTCCTCTGTTGTTTTGGGGTTTGAAGTGAATTTGAATCAGAACTCACCAAGGCCTTAGGCCAAGAACTGGTTTCTAGGGCCAGGATTAAAACTGGGAATAATATGAAATTAACAGTAAGAAGGAATGCAGAGTGTATTTTTCTCAAATGAAGTAACAAAGCCAATGGCTGGTGTGGGTCTTCCAGGCTGTGTGGCCGTGTTCTGGAAGTTTTGTTTCCTAACGTTTTGCCAGCATCT